GTTCCAATGAGATTTAGAATTGATTTTAACGAGACTGTTTGGTAGGGTTTGTAAATTCTCACAGAGACATATTTCCTGGTTAATTCTTTTTGCGATGTTTAGAAACCCTGGGTAACTGCTATTTAAATGAGTAACTCACGAATTTATAGAAGAATGACATTAGAGTATTAAACAGGGAGCTGTGCGAGCATAAGAAGCTGAGTTTGAAGATCAAGCGCCTGTGTGAAACATCAGGCGTGGGCATGTGTTCCTGCAATCCCAGCGCTGGAGGACAGACACAAGAGAATCCCAAGAGCTCACTGCCTGGCCAGCCTAGCCAAAATGGCAAGACCCTGTCTGTTGTTTTTATCTAATCTTATAATTTACAGTTTTAGCAATAAAGACTTGGAAGGCAGAGACTGGGGTAAAAACTTGCTAGCTCAGAGAAGTTGAGAAGCAACTAGTTTACTTTCCTCCTTAGCCACCATGCCAAACCAAAAGAGACCACCACACTCAAAGTCCCTCCTTACTACTTCCTGTGATTTTCTCTATCCATCTTCCTGACTCTTTTATGGCTCTTTCCTGTCAACTAGATGCTGGCTCCTGTTGTGGGATATTTGTGCAGTGTGTGCAAACCTGTTACACTTTTAAAGAGTAGTTTTTGGAGAGCTCTTGTCTTCCCCAGGGTCATGAATAAACATTTTCTTTTTCTTTTTCTTTCTTTTTTTTTTTTTTTTTTTGGAACCTGGAAGCTGGGTCTGAACCTTTGCCCCGAAAGTATAAAAAGTCTTTATATCCCAGAAATAAGGGTCACTTCCATGGTTGCAGGAGGAGGGAGCTGAAAGGGGAGGGGCTGAGCTGGGTGTCTCTTTATAAGGCTCCTCAGAATTGGGTGGAAGACCCCGGGGCCACATCACATCCTATGCTCAGCTTGGTCTGAGCCCTAGGCTGAGATGGCTGTGATTCAAAAGAGCTGAGAGGGGCAGCTTCTGTTAATAGATTCCTGAAGAGCAGTGACTGGATGAAGTGGTGAGCATCAACTCTATGTGCCCTGGGGACTGGGGCCATCGATGAGCTTGTCACATGGGTGTGCTGCGGACCCTGCCCTCTTCCTCCATAACATTCTCGAAGGCATTCTTGTGCTCACTGGACCTAAAATCAGACGCCATTGAGGAGTATCTGCCGTCCATTTCCACCAGGACCCCATCTGCCTTGTTTCCAACAATCATGACCATGCTCCCAGGTTCTGGCTCTTCCTGGCACCAGAAGTGGTTGACAGCAAAGACGATCGCATCAAGGACCAGGAACACGGCCACCGCAATAAGGCCCTGCATCAGGGCTGAAGGTTCCCCAGACCTTGTTGACAGCTGGCAGCTCCCCTGCAGAGAGCAGACCCAGTAGGAGCAGACTGAGGGCCAACATGGCTGCAGGCAGCTGTAAGGCCTTGGTCCACTACTGGTGTTCGGACTCCTGGAGCTGCTGGAGGTCTGGGGTGTTTTTATGAGATCAGCTGGGGAGCAGTCGGGCCTTTCCTGGCAATGGGGCTGGGCTCCCAGGGAAAGGTGTGACACATTTTCAGTCCTGCCTTGAATGGCAGACATTTTCTTTAAAACCGTATTTTGTTTGTTTCTTTTTTTCTGGAATATTCTCTGTCCTTATTCACTGTCTTCTCAGTGGTGACATATAGCTGGCAGAGAGGAAGAAGTTCATATGGATGTAGCTTCTGAGGCTTACATGGTTTTACATTCCTGTTTTTTCTGAGTTTGTAGGTTAGGGAAATATCCTAGAAGCCAGAATTGAAACAAGTTGTGTGCTAGAGTATTATTTTAAGATGTGTTACATTTGTTTATGCTGTGGAACATTTGTTTAATGATGCAAAGACATGTTGCATTCTTTTATGTTGCATTTGTTTAACTCTGTGAAGGTGTGTTACTTTGCCTGTCTAAAACACCTGGTGGTCTAATAAAGAGCTGAACAGCCTATAGCAAGGCAGGAGAGAGAGGATAGGCAGGGCTGACAGGAAGAGAGAATAAGTGGCAGGGGGTGCGGAAACTGAGAAAAAGCAAGAGAGAACAAGGAGAGGAGGACACTAGTGCCAGCCACACAGCCACACAGTCAGCCACAGAATAAGAGTGAAAATAAGATATTCAGAAGTAAGAAAAGGAAAAAGCCCAGAGGCAAAGGGTAGCTGGGATAATTTAAAGTTAAGAAAAGCTGGCTAGAAATAAGCTAAGTAAGAATTAGCCTCCATGTGTGATTTGTTGGGGAGCTGGGTGGCAGGCCCCCTAAAAGAGCAAAAGAACCAAAAAAGTAGAGTAAAAAACCAACAACAGAGTTGATTTATTCACCTCAGATATCTGGGGATGGACAGAGAGTGTGGGAGTCATTTCAGACCTCTGGGGACAGACAAGACAGACAAATAAAGCTGCTACTCCATATCTAGAACTTTCCATGTGGTCACAGCCAGACCAGAAACCTGGGAGCATGGTGCCGTCAGCTTTCCGCAACATCTACATATTCTATCAAGGACACGGGTGGGGCTGTGTAATCCATGTAAAATGACTCGTCCCATCGTTGCAGAATTATCACTGAGATTGGGCCAATATCACCTTCTAAAGACAATTGAAACTCTTATGGCCCCTTGATAAAGCCATGGCCATGTTACTGAAAACAACCAGCATTATGCACTGAAGAGTCAATAAGCAGAAGAGGCAGGGATACTAAAAAATGAGCAACCATAATTCCTTTCTTTGCTCTCTCTCTCTCTCTCTCTCTCTCTCTCTCTCTCTCTCTCTCTCTCTCTCTCT